GCCAGAGGAGGGGAGGAGGAGGGAGAGGAAGGCAGCGGAGCCAGCAGCGGGCTGAGAGCACCCTCCTGCGGGGTGCAGGCTGAGCTGCTGCTCCTCTGCTGGGGAACGCACTTTGCCTGCCAGCACAGAGCCTGTTCGCTGGCTCAGCCCCTCCGTTTCCCCGCTTTCGCAGCCTCTGCTGCTCCCTGGCTGTTCCTGGGGGACACTGCATGGGCTCGCTCCTGCCCAAAGCAATGCCCCCCTCAGCCCAACACGCAGCTCTGTGCGCTTGGTGCAGGCCTGGCGGCCGGACGACCACCTTGGACTGCCCCAGTGCCACCCTGGTCCTGAAGCCAGCTGAGAACTGAGCTGGGGCCTAAGACCATTTATTCAGGTGCAGCAGGGAAAATGGCAACACAACCTTGGTCTGCGTGCTCACCTACACTGGCTTGGTAAGACCAACATGTCAGGGCACTGACACAACGCCATCCTTGGGAATGGTGTGGTTTTTTTTTTTTTAAAAAAAGGCTTTAACTCATACTAAACAGAATATTAACAGATATACTGCTGGGAACAATCTGCACTGACCCCTGGACAAGCAACTGCATGAACTCTCAAGTCTTGTCCACCTCTAAAACACAGGATGCTCAGAACCATGTTTGATTACAAGAGTCTTCATTGAAATATCTCTCCCTTCTTCCCCAGCTACCTGCAACAAAAACATTGGCATCACACTATAACCTAAGCACTGGCCAGTTCTTCTGACTCAGATGCTTTCAAGGAAGCAGCTCCCCAATTTAAGGCAAGGAGGCTGGGATTTTCTCAGCACCTTCCCCCAGTCACATTATCCTGACAGTTTTCTTTCTTTAAAAGCCAAAAGTCGAGGTAGAGGGACTCAACAAAATCATACTCAAAGTGGTGCATCAAGGTCATGTCATCACAGGTGACCCCATAAAAGGACAACGTCCTGCTGGGGTAGTTCAGGTAGACCCCTATCCTACCAAACACATCCATTTTGAAGGGCATCTCCACATCACTGTGCCATGCAGAAAACCCTTTCCCATTCCACAGGATGCTCCAGGAGAAGTTGTTCCACAAGGTGCAGCTGTTGCTTTCTGAACCTCTCTGGTCAATGCTTCTGTATGTCATGCCAAGGTAAACATCAGCCCCAGATATCTCAACCTCAAAATAGTAGTGGCTAAAGTACAAACTCTTGTCAGGCATCACTTGGCATCTGTGTTCAAATCCTTTGGGATGATCTGGGTACAGCTGTTCCCATGGAGTTGGTCACTTTGTCGTTGTCTCTGGCTCTGCATCACATGCTAAGGGACACAGAAAAATAGAAAACAGTGGTTTTGAAACATAAGAGAAATCTTTTTTAATGTGAAGGTGGTGATCCATCTGGAAGAGGTTGCCCAGAGAAGTTTTGGAGCACCATCCTTGGAAATATTCAAACCCAACTGGACATGGCCCTGAGCAGCCTGCCCAAGTTGACTGTTCTCTGAGCAGGGGGGCTGGACTCAGAACCTCCAGAGAGCCCTGTCAACCACAGCAATTCTGTGAAATGGTTTACAGAACCCATCCAGGAGCATTCTCTGTCCTGATTACCCAACATATGAGCTTTGTATTTAAAGTCTGCACATAACCACAGAAGCATTTTCTGTGACTGATGGAAGCTACAGTCATGCTAGGCTTCAGCCACACACAATAGAAGTAATTAACATGTGAGAAATCAAAGGCAAACTATGCAAGACACTCAAGAAAATTAATCTGAATTGATTTTTCAAGTGGATTAAGATAAGCCACATTAAAGTTCTTTGTACCATTTTTAGCAGAATTAAAATAACTATGACTCAGTTTAGTTCTCCTTAAATGAATGAAAGTAAACTGAATTCCTTGTAAGAGTCTCCTACCAAGGAGTTTAATCCATAAATCTTTATTTAATTTGGATTTTCTTTCCTAAATGTCCTTATGAGCCTAAGCCAGTCCCTGAGGCGCTCTCTGCTGTCAGTGGAAGCAGACAGACACCTCCAGAGTGTGCTGCACCACTGCTGAAGGAGGTGCATGTCCAAGACAGGTGAGATGGATTTCACTCTGTATCTCTAGAAATCTCTTCCCAAACTCCACCTCCCCCTAAAAGGCAGGTCAGTATTAAAACCATTGAACCTAGGACTTACATTTGAGGAAATCACTCCTTGTCTTTGGCTGGGGGGCAGAAACGTGATGGTTGGGTGGTCCAGTTGTAGGCACCATCATTTCAATGAAGCAGATTTCTTCAGCAATAAAAGGAAAGAAAGAAGTGATTGCTGCCCCAGCACTAACCACGGGCCATTGTACCTGGGGCTCGCACACCAAGGGGACATGGGCAATGGTACTTGGCTTGCAGGACCAACTCCTCACATTGTCCAGAAGTTGAGGACCTGCCAGCCAGTGCTGCAGAGGTTTCATCCAAATGGGGGATTTTGTGAGCGCATGCAGATGTGGGGCCCGATTCCAGTTTCAAGCCAGGCAACTCCACATCAGCCTCTCAGCACTTCGGGACACAACCTGGGGCTCGGGGTGTTCTGCACAGCACCCTGTGCTACCTCCAACCCACGACCACATCCAGCGATGGGGGACAGAGGTGAGAAAGGACTCCCTGACTGGGATCTGCAAGCAGTTCACACAGAGCCAGACAAGACGTGAGGGACTGTGTGTCCTGCTGCGATCAGACACGCTGTTGTGCCACCTAGAGGCATTTGAGCTGTTTTGGAGGGCTGCCTCGACCACCATTTTTATGACAAATTATTTCTGCCTGAAAACAAGAGAAAGGTCAGCTCAACATCCCAAATGCACTGCAGTGCTCATGCTTGAGCCCCCATCTCTGCTGACAATTGGGGTGCAAAGCACTTTTCGAGATTGACCCCAGCCAGCACAGCCCTTCTCTTCATCACTGCTGGCTGGCACCTGGTAGTTTTTCCTTTGCTTAGGAAACTGGGCTGATATGTATAAACTGGTGGAATTTATGAGGTTCAGCCGCATTACCTTGTGTGGGTACAAACTCAGCCCTTTTAATGGGGGACTTAAAAGGAGCCAGGATAGGGACACCGATAAAGCTCAGGCTTTCCACATACTAAATCATTATCGGCTGACTGCTACCGTTTATCATTTTAAAGAAAGTCCAGGGCCAAGCCAAAGAGGGGAGGCACAAACCCCTGGTCTTTCTTGCCCTCTGCTCTAGGGTGGTGTTGGAGCAAGAGTCAACATCCCTCCTGGTCTGGGGAATCCCTTCCCTCTCCCTTTGATCATCCCACAACCTGCTAATGCCTCATCACAACCCATCACTAAAGCCAGGCAAGAAACAGCACTGTCAGCTCTAAAAACATCTTGTAATTACCAGCATTTTCCCATTCCCTGTCAAGATGAGACCTGAATTTTTTCAGCAGAAGATAAAGCAGAGTTGGCTCCCAGCCTGACCCCAGTCTCAGGGGACTCACCAGGATGGTGGGTTCATGCGTCTTGTCTCCAGCAAGATGAGCAGGGAGTTTGGTCTCTGTTGCTCACACTGCGAGTTCATGCCCTTTTTATCTGGCTGTTTCTCATTCTCTCTAGGTCTGACAAGAAAGTCCTTTCCTGGGTTTGAAACGTGTTCTTAAGCGAAGTTTTATCAGGACCTCTGAAAAGTTCCAGTTTCAGCAAATCAAAGAAATTCAAGAAGTTCCTGGCCTGTCATGCTTGCTGTCACAGCAGCCAGTGTAATGTTGCAGATCTGAAGCAATGATCTTATCACAGAGAAAGGACAGTATGGTAGGCTCTAGCCTGGTTCACATGCAATTTTCTGGGCCTTTACTTTTTCCACTTGGTGATAGCGCAGAGCTGTTTATAAGCAAGCACCTGCCTTCAGGTGCAGCTTTGCAAAAATAAGTACAAGCAGATATCAGGCTCCATGATGATCCACGTGATTCAAGACAGTTCAGCCTGATGAAAATGCTGGGAAAAGCATCCACCCTGGAGCTCTTCCTGAATTCATAGCACTCCTAGCCACAAAATAAACAAAAAGATTCACCTGTTTTAGGCTATGATACTGCACATTGGAGGCATTTTGCAGGTGGGTATGGCACCCTGCGGTGCCCAGTCAGGGCAGGCACTGCTCTCCCGACTCCACATCCCTCCAGCTACTGTAATGGGACACGTCTCAAATTACCCTACTTTTAAGAAGAGGCACTTGGTGTGAGCAGGCTTCTTCTCCAGTTTGAGCTTATTCCTAATGAAGGGTCACTTGTGCTCTGAGTGGATCTTTATCCTGTTCATAGCCACACTCTCCTCCTCCAGAAAGGCTACTACCTCCCACTGGGCTGTCCCTGCTGCCACCAGCAGCAGCCTAAACCCTCCCATGAGGCTTTCCACACCTAAGACAGATGCCTACGGGACAGAAGTCACCAGTTATACTGTCCTTCAAGTCATCTCCTGCTACCATTGGCCCCTCTCCACCCCTGCAAACACCAGCAAGTCCAACGCCTCTTTGGAAATGGAAAACTCAACAGCACAGAGGCAGTTGTGGCTGCAGCAGTTTTGAAACAAGGGACTGAGGCGGTTTCAAGGAGGTTTCTTACCAAAGGTTGTCACACTAGGCAGCCACTGTGACTGTTTTGTCCTTGTAACTTCCCACTGTGGCTCACACTTTGCTGAAGATGACAAGTGATATTGTTAGAAGCTCTGCCTGTGGTTCTCTGTTGATGCCCCCAAGGAGCCACCTGATAGAAATTAGGCAGAATTGTGACTATCATCATTTTACTGGGAGACAGGCCATCTGTGGCACTAACAGCAAGCTGGGAGCAAACCCAGCTCTGTTCTGCCTTACCATGTGCTATTCTGTAGTTTAAGAATTGCTTTCTCAAGAGACTTTGGCTTCCAGTCATACTCCAGGTGGGTCTGAAGAAGCTAATTCTGTGAACAAACCAGAGAGCCATCACTGACGCACTTTCTCTGGGGTCAGAAGACCAAGGAGAGGAAACTCTCTGAGCCCTGTGGTAGGTGTCAGATGCCTGGGGCTGGAGTGGAGTCCTCTCCAGCAGAAAGGACCAGATCACCATCCAACTTGGATGACCGCACCTTTTTAACAGCACCAGAACTCATCACCCCATATTGTCCAGCTTTGCTGCCGTCTCTCTGAGAAAGCACTCTGCCAGCAGCTGGAAATAAAACATTTGTTAATAAGTGAACACAAGCGATGTGCCCATAGAAATGCAATCCTGCCACCCACAATTTTAAAAAGTGCTGGAAGGGGAGTATAAAACAACCACCCCATCCAGGCTTTCACCTGGAGGGAGGGATTCAAACCTGCCTTCCGTCCTGAAAACTGGAGAGGGATAGAAGAAAACTAGGAAGCAGTCCGTGCCCGGCCTCAGGGAACCAGTGTGTGGTCCAACCCTGCCAACTGCTCTAGAGCATCTCAGGCCAGGTGCCTAAAACTGGGCAAGAGGGATCCCTGCCAGGGTGAGGTCACTGGGGTCTCTGAAGACCTGGACTCACACCTCAGGCCATTTGACCCTCACACATCAGCAGAGCTTTCCAGGCAGCCAGGGCAGCAGGCACAGCACACGATGCCCTTTGCACAGCACTGGCCACAAAATCTGGTAAATGCACAGGACCAAAAGTATTATTAAACTTCCCATGCCTGCACTGGCAACGACCACTTGTTTTGGAAGCGGAGCCCTCCTCCTCCCAGGGGAGAAAGTAAATCCATCCATCCAAAGGACAAAGGGCATCATTTTTCAAACCTCAGTTTCCCACTTACCTATCAAATTTATCTCTCTAGGGCTACACCTAAAAATATTTACTCTTCACTTACCTGGGCTGTTCACTCACGACCAGGTTTTTGGTTATAGAGTTAAGTGCTCTAGCCCACGGGTCGGCAGCGCAGTGTCCTCGGAGGGGCTGCATGTCCAGCGGCTCCGCAGCTCGCTGCTGCCCAGGGCGGCCTGGCGATGCTCTGGGCAGGCAAGGCAGGATGTCACCACCACCACCTCCTTGGCCAAGCAGCAGTCACAGCAAAGCTGATCCTTTTTGCTCTCCTGAGTCCTGGCTGCTTTCTCAGAGCTGTTCAAAAGCAGCCTGCACAGGGCAAATCTGGATGCACCATCTGCTTCGCCTTCCCCACCAACAATGTCCTCTGGGCCAGCTTTGTCCCCAGGGAGGGTGCCGCCCTCATGGCCCCATGCCGCAGGGACCAGACCCTCCAGCCT